TTATTTCACTATTATTGTATATATTATCAGTGTTTGCCTGTTATTGGCTTCTTGCTGTTGGCAAACACGTAAATAAATTAATTGAATTGAATTAATTGAATTGAATTGAATGTCTCCCTCATGGAACACCATGAGGGAGGTATGTTTACGGTAATATCGCTGGGTGTTGATAATTGTGGTTACAGTTTGATAATTATGCAGAAGTGGCCGTCACAGTGGCCGCGCGGTCAGTGGGACCGTGGGTTCGAATCCCACTCAAGGCATGGATGTTTGTCCGCGTCTTTCTGTGTTGTGATGTTCTGTGTGCAGGTAGAGGCCTTGCGACGAGCTGACCACTCGACCAAGGAGTCCTACCAAATTTCCAGTAGATAAAGCAAAACCTCCAAAGAGGGAAAATAAATTATGCAGAAGTGAAGGTTACAATCTAGAATTTAAATCAGTCGAGCCTTGAGAATACGAACACCTGTCTCAATCTTATCACGCTTCTTTTATTAACATATTGAAGTATGTCTAAGTGTTTTCAAGTTCTTGTAAACATTTTATCACAGATACTTCATCTTATGACTCGTGTTTGTTTTAACATCATAATCATTGTTCTCGTATATTGTGCAGTAGCCTATGAAGTATGAATTCTAGAAGAATTGTTAAAAATCGGCTATTAGTCTTGTCTTGTTTGCCCGAACATATGACCGCCCAAAACGATCTGATGATTGTCAAATTACTTAAGTGCCTAGATAATCTTCTATGTTTAATTATGAGTCCTTCTGCATGATTTTATGTGCTTGATATAACGGTGGTTCTAATTTACGGGTGTTAAGGTATTAGCTTACACTTTATTTAGAGTGTCATTTTTAAGAAAGCCCCCTCTGCCATTATAGTCGTGGCAGATTTCAGTTCACTTAGTTCCATTTATTTATTTTAAAGTGTTTTTTTAACATTGTTTATGCTGTTTCTGAAGTTGTCGGTGAATGTAAACTGGAATAAGTGATCTTTGGTTTGACCCACGCTTAGATTACGGATATCTGTCTGCGCTTACTTTTTCTAGTTGTCTTTTATTCGTAGATTAATTTCGATGTATCGTGTTCACATTCAGTGATTCGTACCTAATATTTAAATGCTCCATGAAGTATAAAGCTATTGTTAACTTAGCTGTAGACTAGGATAAACTAAGAAGTACCACGAAATATATCTCATGACTTGTTATTGATAGCATCCAAGGTTAATTATTTAACACTTACATGTATACTGGTTTATAGAAGGGGGAATGCACTACGCGACAAGGGTGACCTTCGGTTAAAAAATACAGCCTTTTTACTAAGCTGCAGTTTAAACATTCAGATCTGCTATTATCAGAACCTGTCATTAGATGTAATCCTGAGCCAGCTATATCCACCTCGCATCTTTAAATCCCGTGTAACAAATATCCATCATAACGTCACCAGTTAAAGTCTTTCAAGCGCCATTTTCTACGGTTTCATCACCAAAATTTTATAAACATTTATTGTTTCTCCAATCCTAGATATGCCTACGTGCCCAGCCCAACACAATCCCCTAGATTTCACTATCTTAAAAATATTGGGTGACCAGGATAAATCACGAAATTGTTCGTTTTTGTAACACTCTGAATTACCGACTTACTTTACCCTTGGTGCGTGCACATGTTAACACTTGTATATATGTTACATTTTGTTGTAACTGTTGTTCCTACTCACCTGAACACTGAGAGACGCTTCTTTGTTCTACAGGCAACTGTTTCAAAAGCAAAATGAACAGAATAGCTACGAATGATTGACAAATACTGTGGCGTTCTGGTCCAATAACTGACACCCGTGTGACCATTTCTCTGATGCTTGTTACGTAAACAGTCCATTCATGGAAAATATATGCAGTACGTACAATTGGTTCACTTGTGAAAAATGGTGACATGTCAGAAGAATGTTAAATGTACAGGCTGCCCCAAATAATTGTGTACATAATGCTGACGTATGTAATGGTTGTGTGTATACACATTTTTTTGGATACCTTGTAATCTTATATTGTCGCATCCCGGGTTTTTCCTCCATTGTATTATTTATCATCACCATATCAAAACAGTTTGTTTACAAAATATATTATTTTTGTAAATCGTGGCTACATGTTTCAAATAATGTCATATTCTGGACACGCTTCTATTGCTGAATTAATATAGTGCACCCAACTTTTAATGCATGTAAAATTTATAAACCATTTTAAATTGACTTGTTTATATTTGGACTTTAAGACTGTACAGTTTACAATATCAGTTAATAATTATTTAAGAGTAAATTCTCTAGACGGTAGTAATGAATAATTAAGCCAGTTATCTTACCCAGTCACCCCAGTGTTAGATTCATAGACCGAACGTTGCAGCCGAGTGGTTAGCATTCTTGCTTCGTATTCGGAAGCTCCCGTGTTGAAATCTCGTTTCGGACAACGGGTAAATTCACTGAGGGTGTTAATGATTTTCCTCAGTCTCTCCATTCACATGCTGAGACGGCTCCTTAAATTAGACAACCGCTTACTCCCACACGCTTTTCAATTCATTAACCACCTGATCATTCGGCGCGGTGAAGACTAAGCTGACAGTGATGTTAAATATGAAACAAACAGAACTTCATATGTGGAAATTACGAAACGTTACTTACGATTATTGAGTAGTTAAGATGTGCGATAGGTTTGTACTTTACTGTTATGTTCGGGACATACTGAATGCTGAATGAGTTACCTACTAGTCTGATAATTTACGTGCCTTTCCTCAGCCTTTCTAAACGAATTCCGGGATGGAAGGCATACTTTTAAATAGACCACGACTGTTAATTTGACGTTCTAACTTCTTTACCTATTGCAATGTTCCTATCTCATTTGATAAACAGGTCTTGTACTTGAAACATCGTTTTTAAATTATCTATGAAATAATCTTGGCGCATAGATTCTTAAAGATTTAACTGAAATTTCGACTGTTCGCTTGTGAAGTTAATAGGCAGTAATGTTGTACTATAATTTTACGGTTGATGTGTCACGAATTATAATGAAGGACGAATGGACCAGGTACAATTGAAATCCTTGAAATAATTTTTAAATAATTAATCTGTTCCGTTACCGGTCTTTTATGTTAATGGAAACTCTCACTGAATACGTTGGACCTCCTGCTGGAGGTCGCGAAGGAGGGGGGCAGGATGGAGCTAGTTTGAAGTGTTTGATGCGAAAAGGGAGTATCTATAAATAAATTAATACTGAAACATGAATGTAGGTTTTAATTTATCAAAGTCTGCCGGGAGGACTTCTAGAATAAATTTAAATAAATAGTGTATGACTTATTCCTACGTGTTGATAGAAATACAGGTACGTATTTTATCCAGGTTCTTTGTGTAAGTGGTACACTGGAATTTGTGTGCCTGTGCTCGGGAGAATGCAATAAGCGAAACGCGGAACTGAAATTGTCTGGTTTAAAAGTGATTATACCAATAAGGAAACGGATAAAGTACAATTAAATTTCCTCAAGATATGGAAAATACAGACGTACAAAATTCTGATCGGAAATATTTAGGGAATGATGACATTAGGGAGATCTAGGAATAGACGAAATAATAAGTGATTCTTAGAGAGTAAGAGGGCCCTTGTATGTGAGGACATGGCCCTTCTTCTCAAGCATGCCTTCTAATTTAAAATAATCCACCAATCAATTTTCGTTCTAGGTTCGTATTTGAAGCGCAAATTTAATTTAATTTTAAGGCAGTAAGTTGATATCCGTTGGCTTAATCATATAACATAGGCGTATATAAAATTAAATGAGGGAACTTTGTGTATACATGGTTAAGTTTATATAAAAGTGGACATTAATTAATTTGGAACTTACATGTGCAGGCCGAAACAAATGTATGAAAGGTATATAATAAAAGAGTAAGAAGATGTAATAAACGAATGAGGACTTTTGAATACGAGGTGCGATGTTCTCCACCGGTCCAAATTGTTGGCAAAGTTCTGAGGTTGGTGGTTGAGAAATCGCTTTATCCCTCCACTTGAAGAAATAAACCAGTGACATCTACAAGGCCTGGCGTTTTTTATTTTATTTTTGTATTTGAGGCGAATGTTTAATTTTTAAAATGCGTTAACGCGAAGATCGGCTAATTCATGAAGTGTTCGATCACTTTGGATGAGAGGAGAAGGAAGGGGGGGGGGAAGGGGGTAAGAGAATTAGGTACATAGATCACGGAACAATGGGATCTAGTTTTAGACTTCTGATCATGGCATGGAATTATGTCCTTGTTTTATATTCTTCAATGTAAGCAGGTTCTCCGTCTAAGAACCTTCTTTACCGACGTCAGGATGGCTGGTTCCCGGGCCGGTACAGCGATCTGCAAGCTCAAAAATTGTGTGAGGGATATTACTAAACCGCTTCTCTGGTACCAATACACAGCGACGTTCTGAGAAATCGCGTGCGTGTTTTAATGGCCCCAACAAGGTTCCAGCAATTGAAAATATGTAATAAATACCAGTAAATACGACTCGGGATAGTTCTGTCAGTAAAGTGAATGGCTTGTACCTAAAAGATCGGGATTCCTTTCTCGACAGCAGCATTTTTCTCTTTGCCACGATGTTCAGTTCGTCTCGTGACTCTCCCAGGGTAATGGTGGAAAGCGGCTAGATTGAGGGTCTTAACAGTTGTATGTACTCGTAGTACCAGGGTTGAGAATAAGTTGAACTTTACTTCCACTCCATACAAACGCCTTTTCGCACGAGGCTTACCTCTGTCCTCTCTTCATCGTTTTGTGCTGTCACTATTTTTTTTTGCAGGATTCACCACAGATAATGGCTGAAATATTACTTTTCTGAACAAGACACTTTTCATGCTTGCTTATCAAGTTATGAGGTCATATGACTATTCACTAAGAAATCAGTATCAGCGTGGAACAGAAGCGTCTGTTATCATGGTCCCTTTATCAAGTCAGTATTCTTTCTTTAACAGTAAAGATAATTTTTAAATATCTTCAACGCATGTGTGATAAAACTTTATACGTTGCAGATTTGGCACTGACTATTTTGCTAGAGTTAATCTACCACATGGAACAATAACAGGATTGAACACACCTGGCATTAGGGCGTTTCATACAAGCGGTCTCTAGTTTAAAACGGTTTCGTACATAAATATTTGTCGGGGATTCTGCATTCCGACGCAGCTTTGCGTGGAGTTGTTATTGTAAAGTGTATATTTGGCGTTTTTTACTTACTTAAAGCATGAGAATAAAACTAGAAGAGAATTAGAGACTGTCAGACAATGGAGAATGAAATACGGAAGTGTGTGAATTGCTCCATACTACTCTGGAGACAATTTTGAAAGACAAAACCAGAGTAATATCTTGATGTTCTGTACATACAACGCTGTGCATTTGGTAATCGTGTCTCCCGAGTTGATGGCACTGTAGAATGGAATCCAAATATTTTATATACTTTAGAACTGCCAGTGATTTATATATTGAATGAACTCTCATATTTTTAGTAACTTTCTTGTGGAAAATGGGTTTATATCCCATGTTCAGGAAAGTGAACATTGTTTAATAACGTTATGATACTAAAATTGTTACGAAATTGCGAAACAAAGTCACAGGAGGTTGGGGTTCACAGTAGCTTCTATAACTTTATTAAAGAAACAAAGAGACATTTTCCCACAACTAGGGAAAGTTTACTGCGTACTGACGGCATGGAGAAAAGGACTCAATAAAGCCATGTCTGATAACACTAATAACAAAACAATAATAAATTAATTAAAGTTTAGACTTACGATCTCGTAGGGATTTAGTTGTTTGTTTCTTCAACAGAGAACAGGCATGTACAAGTACAGAAAAACAATATTTTCGAAGCCGTTCATTCTTAGTATAATCTTGGGTAAATATTAGACTGATTCGTAACCAGTTAGTGATTCATGGATGAATGACAACCGAGTAACGGGTTGTTCGATTAGCTGTCATTTGATTCAAAATTTAATCCGAAGAATTGATGCCGTCTCACTGTACTTTTAATGATACGAAATAATATTTCACACGAACGTTGTACGTGTATTGCCAACTCGGTGCCCCGTCGTATTAAATTTTACACGATTTACATAATATTCCATCTTAATTGTTTTCGTAATCATATTTAAAGAAAATATACTGAGATAATTTTCTGGGATACTGTGCCGTGTAGTTTCGTAGACTTTTTTATGCCATCTTCATACTCTCCGCCATGAGAGCCTATTATCCCCCCCAAGATTAAAACTTGTATACAATGTCAAGTTTCGAACAAAATTTAAGGTTTATGCGTTGACAATAGCCATCACCTCAGGATCTCATCCAGCCCTCCTTGAAAGTGAGCATTATCATGGTTCGATTACATTTGCGTGACCTTCATACATTCTTTTGCTGTAAATGGTCAGTTCATTTTCTTTCGTTAAGTTAGTTCATTTCCAAGAATCGCTTGGGATGTGTAGTGGTAAAGGTAAAAGATTCTAGATCTTGACCACGGAGAAGATGAATGGTCAATTTCATAAATGACCTCTTTTCTCACTGGGAGAAGGACACTAGTATCCTTCAAAAAGGTGTCACTTGGGTCCCAGAGCCGCTCCGAACATGATGGCAAGACAAATATTCTTGGCCACAAGCAGGTAGTTTTATTTTCGGAAAGAAGAATGGAATCATATTATTTTTTTTCATCGTCCATGGTTAAGCTTGACCGTCGTGACCCCCTTTTCTGAGTTTTCTTGCGAAAGTACCACGGTGGTTTCGCCTTGCCTTCCGTGGCAATCATATTAATTAATTTACATTAAATTTGGGAGATAAACCGGAGATTGTTACATTGTCGATTAAACTCTCGAACCTTTTATTAAGACAACTTTAATTCGCGAACTCTCCAAGAGAGGTCAGTCATTAACAGTTGATTGTGGCGCTTTGTATAGGCCTACAAGTTGACCATACTTTCAATACTCTTCAACTGTTGAAATATTTTGTGTTAGTTCTACTTTCTGACATGACACAAACAAAAGATCAGGTAAATATGTCTTTGAATTCTGCAAATTTAATCTAAAGCGTGTTTTGTTTGATCCGTTTGTTTCTTCGTTTACTTAGTAGTGCACTTTGTTAAATATTTAGATTACCATCACAGTGCGTGCAGTGTATTCGACAAATGTTTACAATTCTTATTAATCGTTGTTGTAAGAAAGTTTATCATAGGCATGATCACGTGATGCATATCGTTGATTATCACAAAAAAATTATTACCCCTCTCAACATCTCAACCGAGACTCGAACCATGAGTGTTTTTAGTTTCCGAGCTACAGAAACCATAACTAGGACTCGTCTTTCGTCGTTCTTCTGCCATACTTAGCTTAGGAGCTACTGGAAACGCCCTCACCGGGAGTCAAAATCAGGACACTTTTCCGGAGTTTCTACACTCATGTGTTCTTTTCCTGGTATCAAGGAATAAGTATGCTAAGTTTTGTGCAAATCGATCACTATTTATTGAGCTATAAGCGAATAAGCAAACACAAAATTTATCCAAAATTGCGATTTGTTACATATGAAGTCGAAATTGTGGGTGTATTTATTTTATATTTATGTGTTTGTTTGCAAATTGCTCGAGAACGGATATAGCGATTAGCACCAAACTTGGCATGCCTATTCCTAGAGACAAGGAAGAAACATAGGAGTGTATCGTACAGAACCCTAACCTTTGTTTTTAAATAATCTCCACCGGAATTAAGGCATTTATCCCAGTCTCAGAAGCGTGTTGGTGGCGTCCTCGTATAATCCGTGGTTGTTGTCGCTTTATAGTTACCACTGTCATCTGGATGTCATCGTCCGATGAGTGACATTACCCTTTCAAGCGCTTTTTCAGTTCTCCAAAGAAGGAAATCGCATGGCGAATAATGTGGATTATGGGAAGGTACTTCAATAAAAAATTGAATAGTTGTTGCGGTGCCACGCCCACTGCTGCGGGTACCGATGGTGAACATCACTCCCTTCACTAACATACCATGCGTGTTACATGCCTCACCCATCTTATATTTCGCTTGACGGCACTTAGTCTGATAGTTGGTGCAGATTACAAATTATGAAGTACTTTATTACGCGATTTTCTCAAAGAACTTGTTATTTTCCGTATCTAAGACCCATGACTTCCTTCCCAAACACCTTCAATACGTGTTCTTCCCATAGGCTGAGATATCAGTTTCCATATACATTATTATTATTATTATTAAGTGTTCTGTCTTACGACAGGTCCATTGCTCTGCCCAAAAAGAGCTCTCCAGTTGTCCCTATTCTCGGCTTCTCGCTTTAATTCCTGGAACGTCATCTTCTTTCCTTGTTTAAGGTCGTCGGTTAGCTGTGTCAGTCTTCTTCCCAGTCCTCGCTTTCCTTCAACCTGGCCTTCGGTGATATCACTCATTAATCCATTCCTTCTCATAATATGTCCCAGCCAGTTAGCTTTCCTTCGTGTAATCGCCTGCAGAATGTTTCTTTGCTCGTTGACTCTCCTCAATACTTCTTCGTTGGTCACTCGATCCGTCCACCTGATCTTCTCTATTCTTCTCCAACACCACATACAGAAATACCTGGAGAGTTTCGAAATGTGGTGTCCATATACATACAAAACAATAAGTTCAGTTATAGTTTGCATGAGTGAGTATTAAAAATTCTGTTTGGTTTAGATTTGGTGTAATGAAGGTGAGATAGGCCTACGTACTTTTGTGATAGTCCATATTTTTTCATACCACCTTTATAACTTTTCCACACATCACAATTGAACGTCTATTTTATTTTCTGAATGTATTTTATAATACATGTTTGTTACACATAATTGTAATTGTAATGGTATTAAAATCATATTTACTTCTTGTAAACTAATATCAAATTATGAACGAAACTGCAGTATAATATATTTTTTAAAAAGTGTGTAAATTTGCCATGGTTGGGTATATTTCCATATTAATTTTCCCATATTGACATGAACTGAACAACATGCGATGTATATATCTTTATGTCCAGTCATGGCGGAAAATTATAAAGAGTTGATGATCTGCAATCGAGTCGATTGACAATCTGAGATCTTTTATCTCCAACTCATGAAAATTTTTGGATTTGGTTGCCTCGTATTTTCGGACATTAACCGTCTCTTTAGTGTCGTTACATATGAACCCTTCTGTACGTCTTCAATCCTTATAAGTCTCTCAAGATTTTGTAACATTAAAGAAATTTTTTTAAAGGCGAGAAACGCTACTAGTTGTAAATATGTAAAATCATGCATACATTTAGATAACACTGCACGTTATGCAAGGTTTTAAACTACCAGTTGTACTTGACTTAAACGGGTAAATTACTTATCACGCCTTTCAGTTCATTTATGAAGTTTGGCGGGAAATTAATGAAATACGGCAACTTTACTTACAGCAGATTCGAGTAGATTTAATTCTCAGTAACCCGTTCTCAACCCATCTTAGCGTTCTTGATTTTACTATCCTTACAACAATAAATGAACTGTATAAACCACGAAGTCCCTCGTTGTCCAGTATCCTCGTTTACCCACTTACCTAATCTTCGTTAAATCGAAACAGTTTTTTATCAATTTATTTTCTTATTCCTGTTTTTTTGTATTTTTTCACATAAAAATTGTAGGCATCAGAAAAAAAAAATTACAGAAAAAAAATTCAGGATGTAATGAGTTAAACATTTGAACCTTCTCCGTGCACATTGTCAGGATTTTTGTTTAAAATCTGTATAAATTGTCACTGAGAGATAAACAGGAGTGAGGATGTGGACTGTATTAATGTGACTCAGGTTAGGACCAATGGCTATCTCTTCTGAACAGGAAGTAAACATTTGGGTTCCATAAGTAATTAATATTGTGGCTAAAACTCAGAGGATTGCGAAGTAAAGCAGTTCGCCCAGTTTGTGTTTGGGGACAACCTATAATCGAGACATGTCTAACGATAAATTTGATCATATATTAACAATAAAGTATAGCTATGAACTACGAATTCTTGTTGTGTATATACATCTTAATAATAGTAAATTAATTAATTAATTTTAATACCTCAAAATATATTTCACAGAATATATCAACAGGTAACGAAGTACTGGACTTTGATATCACATTCAGCGATACGTTACTTAATTCTACTTACTGTGACCTATGAAGCCGTAGTTAATCTCAGTATCTTATGTTTTCTTTTCCCCGACAGATGTCAGCTACTACCGTAAAACTCACACACATGCTTTGTAGACTAGAAATATATACTGAATCAACTTGCATTAGATGAAGGATTTTTTTCAATAAAATGTGTATGTTGTTTATTTGGCCTCGGTATTTGTATCGACAACCATTTCCCATTCCCTGGCTCTTTGTGACATGTCTCTCTTGAAAGCTGTAGCCTGGACATCTTTGACGTTTCATAAGTTCAGTGAATAAAATGTCTCGTATCATCTGTCAAGAATTAAAGTTAAATATTTTGTGTCTTTTATTATACAGTCGAAATTCTAAGTTACCGTGAAAGCATGTTTCTTTAAACAGAGGGTAGTATGAAGAGGGTTAACTAGTATATAAAATGCTGGCAATGAATGTGCTACGTAAATTTCCTCAGACACTACAGATTCATGTGGACTTGTGTTGTTGTGGTCCTCAGCCTGGCTCGACAGTCTTTTTCCACAACTCTGATCAGTCAGATGTGCTTCAGCGACGATGGCACAACTAATTGAAATGCATAGGAGAGCCATCAGGGTTGCTGCAGGGTGTCCACCAACTTTGACCCGTAAACTATCCTAACAGCTATTTTGTAGCATATCACATTGCTGCCGTCACTGTTATTGAGCTTCCAGTACAGACTTCCTGCCAGCTGAAAGAACAAAACAATGGATGACGTGTGTGTTAATGCAATGGAAACATGGGTGTGAAACATGGTATCTCACTCTAAGTGAATAACATACCTAAGGCTGAGATTTGAGGCTGTCTTCTGGGATGTGCGCTCCGTGTAATATAATAGACGTTTTGGAGTTCGTGCTACGAGTCACACAGTCAACAGCCTTGAAAATGAGGACAGAGATGATCCTCGAAACGTCGGCGATTAATCACCAACTAACACGGCTGATAGCCCAAGAAGACTTTATTAATAGCTACAGGAGGTTTGTCTATGAGCTTAATTCTTTTGGTCTTAACGCAACACTGCTCAATCATCTATCAATCCGAACACGTGACTAACTGATACTGGAACAGAGGATCGTGCCACCGCTTAACTGGAGTCTTTTGTTTCAGTTGTTATCATGAGTGTATATATATCAGGGATAGACATGAGACCTTCAAAAAATCTCGGTGAGATAATCATACTTATGATTAAATATACGTATTTCATTTACAGTAAGTCCAATCAGAATTATTTTAACTATGAAGGACGTCAGTGTAGTTTTTAGAAGTAGTTGATGGAATTTCATGTAACTTGGTATAAATATTATGACACCCAAGGTTTCTCATTCTACATTTATACTTTTAACATTTAATTCTTATTATTTGTTATTTGTGTACTGTAGCTGCAGCCTAATAGCCAGTGCAATCAATAATAGCAGTCGTGTAAACTTCTGAGGTGGATATCAACTTCGCGCCAAGTAACTTACGGTTATGAAACGTTGTGTGATAATAGAACTGTATGCAACTTTTGTGTAAAATATAAAGGATTGTTACTGTTAGAGACCTAAATTTAGGTTTCGGTTTCATGGTAATAACTAATTCACCTTCGTACAATACGAATATTTGATGGCTGTCCGTCTGGGACTAGAGAACGCGACAAAAGAATCAGCTTTAGCGCAGAAAGGTTAGGCATGTGAAATGTTTGTATGAAAATAATTTTTGTTATCAGTTATGAACATGGTGAAAGTCTGAGGTTGCACGTGGGTGTTTTTGTTTCTCCTTAGAACGTCTTGAAACGTCGACGCAAATTACTTTTGTAATTTAAATATACTTATGTGCAAAATAAACTCAGCATGGTAAGGGTCAATGATCCTGTACCCGCTTTTCGTTGTTATGGCACTAGTAGCTGTAGGCTACTCTGTTTCTGTGCTTGGAGGCGGTAAGTCCCATCTCGGCAGTGTTAAGTTCGTCGTATTAATATTTATTTTTTAACATATACAAACACCACAGTCATGAAATTTGGTACACACGCAGTTATGGGTTTTCTATGTTTGCTGACGTCTCTTTTGTAATAATGTATTTTTTTTTTTTTTGTAATTGGGTTTTCATAAAAGACTAATTTTTCAACATTTTCGGTAAGAGAAGCATTTAACATCTTTAACAATTCATATTCTAGAATGTTAAATAGACAGTAGCTTAACAAAAACTGTATAATTATTAATATAAATTTCATGCTTGTGTTATATATAGTTTCTGAGAAAGATGTGCCAACTCTCAGAACGGTGGAAGATAATAACTATAAGGAATCTGTTTATGAATATGTTACTATTAACATGTCAGTGGATACAGGAAACCCGCATTTACAAGTGTATCACATTTCATGACTTTAGAATTTGTAGTCTTTTAGAAAAATCCCCCTCTTTTGACAAATTTACATTGAGAAGATAGGGCTTATCACCTCCCCTTAAGACTGTACTGTTTGACGTACCGGGGGTAGGTCCTCTGAGAACTTCACTACGGCTGAATACTGATTGACGGCTCCCGCCTTCACAGGGCAGACTGTTTCCGATCCAGCAGAACAGGGGGCGGGGGTTGCATCCACGTCGATATTAATTCCATTCAGTCTCAGGTACACGTCTTGGTACAGGGCGTCAGATTCGAAACCTTCAAGAAACACAGGGCCATTAATTGCCATTATATTCTGTTTTATCGTAAACCCCATGCATTCATTCTATAAAAACTATAACAGTAGACTAAGAAAGCTCAGTTCTTTATTTAACGACGCTGAATAATTATATTTCTTTAAGAGTTGATACTCTGCTTATAAAGCTCTGGAAGATTTGTTATTTTTTTTACAGAGCCTGTCATATTTTTAATACAATAATACTTGTTAGGTCAACTGCAATTGTCTCAAGATTTAATGTTTCATGGCTGTGAAGATGTCAGTGTTTTAAACATTTGAGCAAATACTGCGGAGATGTAGAATAATATAAACTAATTTCAAAATAAACGACATTGAGGGTGAAAGGTATTGTAAAATTTCGAATATAATTTAAAGTAAGTGCAAGTAAGGAGTAAATATTTTTGTGAGGTGTCACTTGTTTTTACGCAGATGCTTGAATCAGCTCTGCGAGGTTTTACCTGCTACGAAACGAGACGTGACTGTCGTACTGGAACCTATGAGAATGTTACAAGGTGCTGAAGTGCAGCCATCTATGTTGATGGCCAAAGCGTCGTACACGGAACCTGCAAGAAAACAATGGCGCGAATACTGAGCCCCCAAGGTCACCTTATATCCGGAACGGTAATAGCAGAATATGACACTGCGTAAACCTTCAAGACCTTCTTTTAATTACACTTCGTTGTAGTCTCGCAGCTGACACATCCCTAAAAACGTAGGGATGTTTATGTTTTTGGGAACGACAGTAAAAATTTAAGACGTAAATTCACACACGTTAAGAAATTAAATTTGGTTGCTACTTACTACTGTAACCACGTTAATAATCGCTCAGCTAGTGAAAATATTTTTAGCCTTTTAAGGAACACGAAGGTTAATAATTGTCTTCATATGACCCTGCTACTGTTCTGTAAACTGAGTCAAATATATCTAATCCACTCCGTCCCACCCTATTTTAATATCATATTTCTTTATCTAATGTACCAAGTTGTCTCTTCCTCTGTTTCTTGTATCAAAAATTCGTTTGCATTTCTCATCAGTATATGAGATTTCAGGTTTTCGCGGCTGTGAGTATAAACGTGACTGTCTTCTGGATTGTAGCGCTGTTTAGTCTGGTAGACGTTTACTGGAGTTTCAGATGTGCTTGCTGCCTCCATCATCAGAACGATATGACTATAAGTGTTTCTCATGGCAGTGACTTATTAGCAGTGATTAACTGTCGTTTATGCTGTCAGTGAGTTATTTTAAATGAATATGTGGTCGAATTTATTCTCTTAAGAAATCTGAAATTTGCAAAGGTCACTGTGTAAAAGATATGGTGAGTGGTCTTCCATCTTATCAGTACTCTGGTAATTTCCAGTTTTCTACTTATCTGAGGTACCATATTAACTAATATATCCACCCATCGAGTATAGTCAGCAATTTCAATAATTCTGATACATTTTAAAAGTACTCAGTAGTAATATTTGTCTCTGTTTACTAGACCTGTGTTTCTCGTCATATATTCACAGTAAAGAACAACTCTGCAAAGATTACAGCGCAGAAATTCGCATATGATATGATATGATTATTTGCTGATTGAAGAAGACAGACATCTTCATACTCGTCGCAATGAGAACCTGAAATCTCACAGATTTCCTATTTATTTTTACTAATATTGTATTCATTTTAAGCCACTTTAGATTAGATTCGATAATTTCCCGAATACATGTACAGAATATTGACCTTTTTTTTTACATATAAATGAGAGTAGAAGCAAATTGCAGGTTGTTTACCGATAAATTAAAGACTTACGTTCACTTACCACAGTCTTCGAACTCGACAGCGTTGGCGCATGCGCACCAAAACATGAAGAGCATAACCGTTGAGCGAAACATGCTTTTCAGAAGCCCCAGGCGTAAACTCTTTGTAGTGTTAAGGCAGGCTCTGAGGTGTCTCTTATATGATCCTACACGAGATAAAATCGATCAGATCACGCGGTTGGTAACTGCAGTTATCGCAGATATCACAGATCAGCTTCCTCAGTTGTCTGCGAAGAAAGCGTAAAAAATGAAACGTTATTCGCATGGCTCACACGGATTTCCCATCATAAAAACAGAAAATCTGTGACCTCGAACGCTGAACCAATATCTGAAGGCTAAGACCAATAAGACGTCAAGACAGCGGCCATACACAGGTTGAAACAACAGGACGCTTAACTTTAGTGGACAAGGGATGGCAAACGTGTCCCACGATTTTGTTATTTTTGCGATGGGGTGAGATTATATCTAAATCAATCTGCGGTCAGTCTATTAAATTATACATGAATGAATATGAAGCAGAGGTTGAAAGACACTGACAGGGGACAACCGAAGAGCTTGGAGATAAACTCTGTCTCAGTACCACTGTGTCCACCACTGACTTCAACCCGGATCGCCGCGGTTCGAAATAGTTGAATAAACGCCTAAGCTATGATACTTAGTGTAGTGGAATAAGTATCTTAGTCTCCACAGGAGAAGACGGTTCAGTGAATTACTTCAATATATACGTACCTTGTAAATTTACTTTCTGATCTCTTACTGTAAGCCTTCGTTGGAATGAGTCGTCTGACAGAATATCAGTAAATCTCAGACAAAATGCGATTTATATGTGCTGGCGTTTAAAAATCCTTGAGGGACATGCTCAGTAGAAGTGATATGCCGTACTCTAAACTAATTCTTACAAAAAAAAGATAAGATAATTATTATGAATATGCACATTGTACGACCAAGTACATATATAAATACACTATGAGACATTACAGATGTAATGTGGACAGTAACGATTTGAAACTCTCGCGGCAACTGGATGTATTTGAATTTGCACATATTTATTCTCACACGTTCGTCATCCGAGAAGACTTAGGGGAATTTTCGACAGACCTAAAATGGAGAGGCAAGAAGGGCGTCGGAAATAGCGTACTTTCCAAATGTATTTATTGTGTGTCTCAAAATATTTTGTATCTTCCACAATTATCCAAAACGCATTAATATTTTGTTGTTAACTAGCAAGTGGCCAGTACTGCAACAGACTACAGATTAACCCATATTAAATATTGACGGGAAAAATCTTATTCTAACTCTAGATTCTTCGATTCAGTTATGTTAACAGTGGCTGCCTGTAATATGTAAATGATCTAATCCAATTCACGATGATTAGCAGTCACACACAGGCCGAATGCTACACTTTTGAACCCTATTACACGTACACTGTACAGTGTTTTCGATTTCTACATCTGTAATCGAGTATGAGCGAGTGAGCGCTTTTCAGACTCGATTTATTTCGTGTTCTAAGCACATCAATCACAGTGTAGGTTATCGTGACCGAGTTATTAATAACTCTATTTTTATATCGTATATCTATAAAATATGTTCAGATAACGTTGATAATAATTGATAGCTGAACTACTGAATTTCTCTAAATTTTTTTCGTCAGCAAATTGCAGGTTGTTTACCGATAAATTAAAGACTTACGTTCACTTACCACAGTCTTCGAACTCGACAGCGTTGGCGCATGCGCACCAAAACATGAAGAGCATAACCGTTGAGCGAAACATGCTTTTCAGAAGCCCCAGGCGTAAACTCTTTGTAGTGTTAAGGCAGGCTCTGAGGTGTCTCTTATATGATCCTACACGAGATAAAATCGATCAGATCACGCGGTTGGTAACTGCAGTTATCGCAGATATCACAGATCAGCTTCCTCAGTTGTCTGCGAAGAAAGCGTAAAAAATGAAACGTTATTCGCATGGCTCACACGGATTTCCCATCATAAAAACAGAAAATCTGTGACCTCGAACGCTGAACCAATATCTGAAGGCTAAGACCAATAAGACGTCAAGACAGCGGCCATACACAGGTTGAAACAACAGGACGCTTAACTTTAGTGGACAAGGGATGGCAAACGTGTCCCACGATTTTGTTATTTTTGCGATGGGGTGAGATTATATCTAAATCAATCTGCGGTCAGTCTATTAAATTATACATGAATGAATATGAAGCAGAGGTTGAAAGACACTGACAGGGGACAACCGAAGAGCTTGGAGATAAACTCTGTCTCAGTACCACTGTGTCCACCACTGACTTCAACCCGGATCGCCGCGGTTCGAAATAGTTGAATAAACGCCTAAGCTATGATACTTAGTGTAGTGGAATAAGTATCTTAGTCTCCACAGGAGAAGACGGTTCAGTGAATTACTTCAATATATACGTACCTTGTAAATTTACTTTCTGATCTCTTACTGTAAGCCTTCGTTGGAATGAGTCGTCTGACAGAATATCAGTAAATCTCAGACAAAATGCGATTTATATGTGCTGGCGTTTAAAAATCCTTGAGGGACATGCTCAGTAGAAGTGATATGCCGTACTCTAAACTAATTCTTACAAAAAAAAGATAAGATAATTATTATGAATATGCACATTGTACGACCAAGTACATATATAAATACACTATGAGACATTACAGATGTAATGTGGACAGTAACGATTTGAAACTCTCGCGGCAACTGGATGTATTTGAATTTGCACATATTTATTCTCACACGTTCGTCATCCGAGAAGACTTAGGGGAATTTTCGACAGACCTAAAATGGAGAGGCAAGAAGGGCGTCGGAAATAGCGTACTTTCCAAATGTATTTATTGTGTGTCTCAAAATATTTTGTATCTTCCACAATTATCCAAAACGCATTAATATTTTGTTGTTAACTAGCAAGTGGCCAGTACTGCAACAGACTACAGATTAACCCATATTAAATATTGACGGGAAAAATCTTATTCTAACTCTAGATTCTTCGATTCAGTTATGTTAACAGTGGCTGCCTGTAATATGTAAATGATCTAATCCAATTCACGATGATTAGCAGTCACACACAGGCCGAATGCTACACTTTTGAACCCTATTACACGTACACTGTACAGTGTTTTCGATTTCTACATCTGTAATCGAGTATGAGCGAGTGAGCGCTTTTCAGACTCGATTTATTTCGTGTTCTAAGCACATCAATCACAGTGTAGGTTATCGTGACCGAGTTATTAATAACTCTATTTTTATATCGTATATCTATAAAATATGTTCAGATAACGTTGATAATAATTGATAGCTGAACTACTGAATTTCTCTAAATTTTTTTCGTCTCCTTCGTTATCATTATCTGACAGTAAAGGAGTTACGCCATATTTTATCCCATGTCAATTTTTTCCCGCCAGCGGGAAATATCCTATCTGCATTTCGTAATTCCGTACCCCCCCCCCCCCCCCCGCGAATTTTTGAATTAGAAAGAAATCCTTTATCATTCCCTCTGATAATTGAAACGTCCTTAATTTTTCAGTTTCCGATAGTAAACGCCATACATCAGCTCCTTTTGACGTTGCTGGACTGAACTCTGAGCCTTGCAGCTATAGTGTGACTCACACCCACGATTATTAACAATTGCTTGTCCCGCCCATCTCATTATTTTGTACGTAGTTGCCTTAATGGAGATCTTAGCGGTGCCTTTCTAATCGTTCTATTTCCTTTCCTCAGCATCTTGTCCTGAGACTGCTCAATCTGTCGGTTAGTACAGGTGCGGCAGTGTTGTTGCGCAAGGTTAAACAAGATGCTGAGAGCATCTCTGAGCAGTAGAATTATGTCAGTAGAATTATGTCTACTTCATGTGTGTTATTCGCAGTAATGTCGTGCGCCCGAGGAGTTGAAGCGTCGATTTCTGCGGTATTTTTCTTATTATTTAAGGCTTTAAGAAATAGAAAAGTAGGTGAAGGAAGTGACGTGTCTCTCAGAAACATTTTCTCTTCTGCGCTATGAACATCGCTTGCCGCATTTCTAGTTTTTCCCTTCCTGGTGTATTTTCTTGTATTTCTATTCCGATATATTTAGCCTTCTCGACACTTTCGAAAGCATTCAAAGTAAAAACTTTCTCTCTCATCCACAGATAATTTATCTGAATAGATATTTACAAGAAAATACAATTTATTTGATAATGAGCACGAAGTTTTGTTGTAACAACCGATAAAGTATTTAAAATATTTTGCGTTGTTTCCTACCTGTGATGGGAGAGCAGATAGAATAGACAACATACATACATAAAATCTGACGGTTTCTAACAATGATGATTGCTTTTTTCGTCTTTATCCATCGTCTAAGGTTCATAAAGGTACTTTTTCTTTTCATTTTTCTTCCTGAAGACGGAAGAAGGTCCTACTATTTGAAAGGTTTGATTCTGTGACTTTCTATGTTTATATGATTAGTGTCTTGACGTCAGTGAAAGTCAATCAATATGGATTTTACTCATCAAGAAGTAGGACGTCATTCCTAATAACTTCGTAAATCTCTCTCTCGTAGCAAAGGTGAAATTTCTCAAAGTTTATATTAATAAAGTGGAGTACAGAAGACATATCGTGCTCGAAGTACAAAGGAAGGTATACATGTTACGTGTTCAAACAAGAGTGTTATTCACAGTGCATTTGACGACGAAAGTGCTTAGTATTACGCATGCAAAAAGGGCGTATAGTCAGCTGATTTGTTTACAGTTTAGTTTTCATAATTAATTGTTGGAAATAAATGTAATTATCTTCCTGCAGTTTGTGATACAAATATTTAAGTGTGAGAAAAAGATTACTTTTACTAATTAAAACGTTATGAAGAGATGTGATTTTGTAATACATGTATCAGCATTGTGAAACAAATCAATTTCTGATTGCAAGAATACATATTTTGATGTAAGACGTCAAGTTATTTAAGTTTCGAGTCTTGTTAAAGGTCTTTGTATAAAAATGACCCTAATGCGAGTAATTAAGCAATTAAATTATGAAAAGGCACAGGATTGTGGGCTGTGTAAGTGCGGTCATGTGTGAGTCACAAGGAGACCACTTGATTTGCGTAGTACGAGGGTATTTTTTAAACTAAACTTAGAAGGTGCATATCTTGGAGTGATAGGTTTTGCCTTCGATATGGATCACGAAGCACCATTGAGCAACTTTACGTAGTTTCCATGGAGATTGACATACTTATCGTGGGTTTTGTCCCTTTTCTATGATTGTCAGTATAGTAGACTCCTGATTATCCGGGGTAGGATTAACCGGACTTTATCTAATGTAAACGAAAATTGGAAATCGATATAGAATATCTGTTGTAAACATCAGAACGTTGAAAAGGAATGGAATAAATACATGGCATTATTTAACGTATTAACATAAACCAGTTTTTGGTAAAATTTTAATTTTACGACAATAGGAGGTTATTGTACCTACCGGTGGTCTAGCGGTTAGAACGCTGGCCTTGTAATCCTGAGGGCTCGGGTTCGATTCCCGGCGGTGCCCGAATTTATAACTTGTGTTGGGCAAGGCCGTGGTCTAGGCATCACGGAGTTTTCCTCCGGGGGCTTCCCCGGTTTCTCCGTGGCATCCCAACAATTACTCCATTCACACACAGAAGAAGGCAATGGCAAACCACTTCTGGGTCATCTGCCAAGAACGTATATGAACAGGTCCCAGTCCGAGAAAAGGATGGAAGGATCCTGTTCATATGGTCCTGTCGTCAGACAGAACACTAAATAAATAAATAAATAGGAGGTTATTACTATCCGTTGGAATTATGTTTAGAAAAATAGTTGGTATTTACTGTATTAAAATTTATACAGGATGATTCAAAAGGTTAGGGCCAAACTGAAGGAGCGTATAGAGGGACTGAGAGAGAACAACTTTCGAATTGGAATCCATGTCCTCCGAAGTTATCCTGAGTCAGTCTATTCCATTGAAGGTAGGGAAGTCTGATAACATACCGCTGAAATAATCGTACTTTGCTATTCTCCTGCTAGCTTAATTTTGAGTCACACGCATCACGTCAGATTCTACAGTGGCCCCTGGGCAGTTTACATTGTGTTTGTGAGTCGATATTGACTGGTGTCTTGCTGCATTCGTAATCTTTTTAAGAAGAAGATCACATATTATCAAAGTTATGAATCAAGAAGAATGAGATTGGAGATATGCCAAATGCATATAAAATTCGTTTGAAAACCTAGACGTAGATGTGAGATTAATATTAAGACGAGTTTTAATATAGTGGGGTACGCTGGCCTTGTAATCCTGGGGTCTCGGGTTCGATTCCAGGCGGTGCCCGAATTTATAACTTGTGTTGGGCA